AGAATAAAGAAAAAAGAAAAGAGAACATTGAAAGAGAGAGAAAAAGGAAAATATATTAAACTGAATTGGGAGCTGGCACATTCTTCAAACTTGTGGTTTTGTGTCAAGAACGAGTTGTATGCTTGTGCTATATCAGCACTTGGATGATACAGACTAAAAGTGCAAGATGGGCAACAATTCATTCACAGTTTTAACATGCTCCAAAAATCACCTGTATCTGTCTGCGGACGGCAAGCAGGGGCGTAAGATGAAGAGGCGTAACTTGTAGTAAGTTAGAGGCATAACTTACAGTTATTGAGATCCCATTGAACCAACGAGTTGTTGTTGGTGTTGTTGTTTTCATGAGTTTTCTCCAAATTTATCCACAACTAAGTAATTTGATATATTATTATATTCATTCATTTAGCAACTCCACTCGCTGACCTCTTCATCTATTTTGTCATGACAGTTAGCCTAATCGGCATCACCCCCTGTGGTTGCAAATAACAGTACAATGGCGAGCGTGATATGTATGAAAGCCTCCGCAACTTGCGGCGGTACATTAATAACTATGATGGTTGGGTTTAGGTTTAGGGATAGTGTAAACGTTCATAACTGTGATGGTGGGGTTTAGGGAAGGTGTAGACATTAATAACTGTGGTGATTGGGTTAAGGGTTGGGGTAAGTGCAGACATTAATAACTATGATGGTTGGGTTTAGGTTTAGGCAAGGTGTAGATGTTAATAACTAATGGTTGGGTTATGGTTGGGGTAGGTGTAGACGTTAATGACTATGATGGTTGGATTTGGGTTTAGGTTTAGGGAAGGTGTAGACGTTAATAACTGATGGTTAGGCTTAGGGTTGGGTAGGTGTAGATGTTAATAACTGATGTACAGTGCCATATTGCCGACAACATAGTTTTAACATGGCACCATAACTTCAAGTTACACTTCTAATGTACAACAAGTTACGTCCCTAAGGCACCTTCATGTTACGCCTCTGTCTTGCAGTCCGCAGACAGACCCTACTCCAAAAATTGGCAACCAAATGTTAGAAAATCTGATTACCTAATCGAAGACTTTATTTATTTTTTTGTAATTCAACAAAAAATAAGGCATCTTTAATCCATTGTGTATGGGATTGGGGTTGAGGAGACTTCCACTGCAATAAAATACATGACCTAGCTGATAAGGAAAGAATCTTTGAAATTCAGAAAAATTAAATAATAACTCACAGTCAGGGTATAAAACTCCAAACAGGCCAATTAATAGAGAGAAAGATCTATTTTAATAGATGTAATTGCTGAAAATGAATCAAAAACAGACTCCCAAAAAGGAAACAAAGCAGGACAGGTTCAAAACATGTGAACTAAATTTGAAGGTTCAGCACAACATTTGTCACAATTTGGATCAATGGCAGGGATCAATAATCCTATGACGAGCACATAAATAACAGATTGTTTTACATATTTTTTATTTCATATTTGTTAGACTAGTCATGCATATTTAATTTTGCCATTCCCTTTATTTGCTTATTTTGTAATAATGATATTGTGATGAATTACACTGTCGGTTATGCAATGAACTGTCTCATGTCAACCACAGACTTCCTGCTAGATTCCTCCGACGCAGGTGGTCAAGATAACCAGAGTGCCATACTGTGCGGCCGCCTGTATAAACATCCGTTTCTAATTCAGGATCTGTCCTCTGTCGCCACAACTGAAGATCAATCTACAACAAGCCTATTTGCATTTCCTGCTTCGTGACCATTGTCTATTGTAGCTGAAATCAGTGATAAGTGAGTAGACTATCTGATCAACAGCTCCTGAGAGCCTTCGTCCTCTTGGGATAGTGGACAGAGATCTAAAAAAAATGATAGCATGGACTGTTACTTTTTAAAGAAAAAAAAAAAAAGATTGCGGATAGGATTGGTGGACATTGCTAGTTTGGTGATAATCAAACAGATATGCAACTCACAGATGTGAATACTTAAGCAAATATGTCTTTAAATGCCTTAAGGATATTATTTTAAATACTTTTTATTCATATTGACTCTGGATTATATTAGTATCGACAGGTGTGGAGAGATTTTCCTAAAAATGTTGCCTGACGGTATGCTAACCCCCTCAATGTGGTTGTAAAATACACCAAGCATTGGTATGTGTAGAGGCCTAAAAATAGACTAAATTCTTAAGTGTTTCTCTCTCTCTCTCTCTCTCTCTCTCCCTATATATATATATATATATATTTCATTGGTCAATCAAGTGAACATATTACCAGAACCATGTCTTTATAGATGTGTGCAAAATAGTCTGAATATCAGTGCCCCAAAGAATGGCAGGTTTGTCCCGGTTGGAGTTGTTATCAGGTTCTTGAATGACTCTCTTTTTTCCTTTTGTTGACAGCCAGTCACCCAATAATGACTGTCACACCAGAGCTTGAAACATCAAATGGACCCATCAGAAAGGTAACCCTGTGAACCGTAGTGACAAACAATGTCTGATCTCCACCTACTAGGTTTCTAGGTCATCTTATATTTGTTTTTAAATAGACTTAATGTAGAGCTTAATGAAATTAAATGATACTTAAATAAACATTACTGTCAGTAGTTATGTTAATTTTTATAATTTAATACATTTATTTTAGTCATAGTGACACTGTGAAGGTTTCTGGTTCGAGTCCCGGCTAGGCCAGTTGGGATTTCTGTGTGGAGTTTGCATGTTCTCCCCGTGTTCTCGTGGGTTTCCTCCAAGTGCTCCAGTTTTTCCCACAGTCCAAAGACATGCGCTATAGGTAAATTGAATAAACTAAACTGGCCGTAGTGTGTGTGTGTGTGTGTGTGTGTGTGTGTGTGTGTGTGTGTGTGTGTGTGTGTGTGTGTGTGTGTGTGTGTGTGTGTGTGTGTGCGTGCGTGCGTGCGTGTGTGTGTGTGTGTGTGTGTGTGTGAATAAGACTATATGGATGTTTCACAGTATTGGGTTGAGGCTGGAAGGGCAGCCGCTGCGTAAAACTTATGCTAAATAAGTTGGTGGTAATTGGGTGTGGACCCCTGATGAATAAAAGGACTAAGCAAAAGGAAAATGAATGACTGATGTTTATTTTTTATCATTTAATCAATTTAATTTAGTTATTAACATTAATAATTTATTATTTTCATGCATGGTTGAATTTAACGTTATCTACTAAATACATACTTTATGAAAAAGAAGTATGTAATGTAATGATGTTATATAATGTGCTGACTGGTCACCTATTTTCAATTTTAATCTAACATATGTGAAAGTTTAATTTTAAATATATACATTGACAACCAGATAAACATCTTATTGACGGACATCCTACAAATGATTTAGATATGGTTTTCACAACAATTTGACAAAAAACCCATATATTTAAAACCATGCTAACCTCAAATGTACCTTAATTTTGCTGCACTAATAGTTTAACCACGGAATTTGTAGCAAAACTTTGGTTATACAAATGCTAAGCAATGTGCCAGAAACATGTTTACTACACTAAAATAAAATACATTTTTGTAGATACAAATTCTGAATTACTAATCACACAAGAAATATAATACTTCCAATAAACGTCAACTCTAAAGTGTAATCGTCCATAGAAAAATGTTTCATGAAGTAACAAATCCACCTCACAGAAGGTGATATTTATTTTGTGTGATTTGAACTCCCAAAACAAGTGATCTTAAGATAGAAAATGTTAACTTAACAGATAGAAAACGTTCAAAAATTTTTTGAAAGATTGTCTAACACTGTTGTTTTCCAGGACCCATAAAGAGAGCTTATATTTTGTCTCATTATGATTAAAAAAAAATGTGTACGATATTATAACATTAGAAAAAGATTTCCTACATACCCTGTTAATTTAAAGAGCTTCAAAATAACGTTAATATTATTTATCCTGCAAACTAATTTCTAAAGTTAAAATTCAATATTGGTGACTTTAATGTATTGAAACAACTGAACACTTGTTTTTCCAATGTAATGTGATACAAAGATTTTGAGATGAAGTATTAATTTGGATACAACTGAAAATATCTGTAAGACGTATCTTCTCAAGGGAAAGTATTGAGTTTTGCTTAATACTTAAAACATATATAATGAATAATTTATCGTTATCATTAAATTGTATATTCATAAATGTAAATTTTTCAAAATTCCTCCAAGACTAGTGGTGTTTAGAGAGTAATGTGTGATATATTTGAAGACATTAAGAGAGATGAAAAGCCAAAAAGCAATTAATTAATTTTTATATTTACATAATTTGAGGATTTTGGTTTCATGTTTTGAGAACTTCAACTCCTCTGCTTTTTATTTTTTCTTTATCATTTATTTTATTTGTTAATTTTTGGCATTTTATTATGATTTATTATTATTAAGGAGGATGGAAAGATTGTGAATGTATGTAAATTGATTGTTATCTCAGTCTTTTGTGTAATTCTAAAAAGTGTTAATGCCTTTCTGTTATTGTTCAAACATTATTAATGAAAAATATGTGTGGTTTGCGCGGCAAACACGTGGTTAATATTGCTTGGCAAAGTTCGCCATCTACTGTAGTTTCTAACAAACACAGGCCATTAAATATAATCTAGCCATTTCACACACAAAACGATCTTAACACGTAATATACTTTCTAACTTATTTATTGTACATCATATATTAATAAAAAATGTCCAAAATGGGATTCCTAATAATTAAATCGAAAAATACTTATTAATTAAATTGATATATTATCCTAAATATATGTATGCAATTAGACGAATACTATTTAACAAGTGACTGATTAACAAGTGAGTTAAAGAGTTTAATTATTTAAAATTATTTGAGAACGTCTTTCATTTCTTATCGCTTTAAGAACTTGAAAATAAATACATATCACTGAAATTCAACTTACATAAGATACAGTAGCAGCAGTGTTTATCCAACCTCAAAATGAAAGTTCGATGTGCTCGTCGTTCTTGGAGGTCTAACCTCGTCGAATCGTCTATGAACTAGTCACGTCTAAACAAAATGGCGGCCTTCTGCACAGGATAACGCGGTGTTTCAAAACTATCATGACAACATGTCACTCTTGAGATTGTGTGCCTATTCAGCGGCTTTAACGCGCAGTTTTGCAGCTGACGGGTGTCTTCGTAGTTTTCTAAAAGGCGATTGTTGTCGCATGTGTCTCAGAATAAGGATCAACGGAGAGAGACAAATACAAGGTAACGTTAATGAGAGAGCAGTCTTATTATCATGCTATCATCTGTCTCGTCCTTCAAATCCACTTTACCTCAATATTTATTTGTATTACTTATTATTTTGTTGTCATTCATTTTATATTGAGTATATTTTACATTCACGTTTCGTTTTACAAACTTTGTTTAAGTCAGATAGTTTACGTCTCAATGTCAACAAGGCTTTGACATGCAAGAAAGTCTGTGATGTTTGCTGTTTTATGAGATTTATACACGTGTTGTGGATGCTTCTTTGATGTTCATCTAATCTAGACATAATAGATCTGTAGATTGTTTGTTGTTGTGTCTCTTTCTGTGTTCAAACAAACACGGAAGTTGATTAACTTTTATCGTTATTCACTTTATCTGTCATTTTTCCAGAAAAAGTATGGGCTACGATTTACCGAAGGCACTATTCAGTCATTCCTAAGAAGGATGATGGGAAGAAAAGAGTCTGGGAACAGTCTCAGCTGTTGGATGGTATGGTGTCTTTCTCCTAATGGTTATATTTCTGTTAATTGTGGGTTTGCTAACTCAGACACTTGCTTGTGTGATTTTTCGTTTTGTTGAGCATTTTATTTAAAAATATGTTATTAATAAAATAAATCACATATGTCGTAAACAATATATTAATTTGGTCTTGAAGTTTACATTTTGCAGTGATGTAAATAGTCACTTAGTAGAGATTTAATAGCCTATATATTATTGCCTTGCATCAGATTGCTGTTTATTCGGATAAGGTTTAGTGTACTTGATAAAACTTAAAATACCTTATAATGTACTTTATATAAACCTTATATGTTGTAATTTAATTATATTTTTATTTATATTTAATTATACTATTATTACTAATAATCTAGTTCATATTTTGCAGTGATTAAAATAGTCGTACATCTGAGTTTGCTTCAAGATGGCTGTACTATATATATATATATATATATATATATATATATATATATATATATATATATATATATATATATATATATATATAAATAATATTAGTAGTACTCCTTAGCATAGCCGTAAAAACAGTCTTGGTGTTGTGCTACATTTATTGTCAAATTTTGCAAATAAATTTAAAAAATCTGTTAGTATAGTTGAAATTTTGTAAGGATAACATGCAACTCACTAGACTGTATTATATATGTTTAGTATGATTATTAAGGCAAAAAAGATTGATATTAAGCAATATTCTTTTTTTTTCTTGAAATTGTTCGTTCGACAGCCACAATACACTATTTTTACCCATCATGTTATTTATTTATTTCAGTTATTTAGTTTTATTTTAATAACTTTTGTTTTCCTCTTATGTTTTACTTTTTTGGGTTGGGCATGAGCTTACATAAGTTAATAATAACACCATTATAATACAGATAACTGTCTTCACCATTAATTTTGCATGAGCAAATAGCAGACTGAATTACATATTTTCAAAAAACAATCATTTACCTGCAGAGCATATGAGTTTGATCAACGGCATATCCACTCACTCACACTCTATAGACCTATATTTTATTTATAACACTGGAAACATCACAGGCCGATCATCTTTAAGCCAAAAGCCAATAAAATAAATAGGTATCCTTACTTGATACTGCTTTTACGTAGTAGAATGGGATGTCATACTTTTCACACCTGTGTAAGTGTGAATAACGATTTGAAAATGAAAGCAAACAGTTAAAAAGGTTCTGTCTTTTGTCAAGCCTCAAATAATAGTATTTATAATAGTAATTATAGCATAGACTACTGTGTGGTTGTGCATTGTCCAACTAAACGTTTTTGTTGCTCTAATAAAATGTTCCCTTAATAAAAAACAAATGTGTCAAAATGACTGGAAATTGCAGTCACTACTAAAATTCATTTCAGTTTAATTTCTAAACATTGTAAATGCACTAGATGGGTTGCTCCAGATATGGTTATTAACCTTAAGTAGTAGACAACAATCAAGTTTAGAGAAACATTTTTTTTTTTATTATTAAGACTTTGATTAAGATTTTAATTGTTTTAATTAAATTAAAATCTGCATAGACTACGCCACTGATGTGGATTAAAATATTCAATGTTATAAGTGTCAAAGAAAGTATATTTTTCTTTCTTGTGTGCATTAATTGAAAAGTAATTGTAGATGTGTGCAAGTCACTAGTATAAAGTCTAAAAGTGGGAGCTATCTAGTCCTTTTATGTTCATTGCAACAATTGCTTTTGTTATTTGGAGTTTTTGTCTTGTTTCTAGTCCAAATTTTAAAACATTCTTAAATCAAAAAGCATTTTCTAGACAAAAAAAAAAAAAAAAAACTTTTCATAAGAAAAAGTCAAAATGAAGTGAGTTTTTTTTTTTCAGCATAACCTGCCAATTAGTAAGTAAAATAATCATGTTTTGGCTTTGATTGAACTATACATATATAGTAAAAGTTAAAATTATTCACTCTCCTGTGAATTTTTTTTTCCCTTTTTTTTTTTTTTTTTTAATATTTCCCAAATGATGTTTAACAGAGCAAGAGATTTTTCACAGTATTTCCTTTAACATTTTTTTCTTCTGGAGAAAGTCTTATTTGTTTTATTTCGGCTAGAATAAAAGCAGTTTTTATTTTTTAGGTCAATATTATTAGCCCCCTTTAGCAAATTTTCCCCTGATTGTCTACAGAACAAACCATCATTGTATAATTATTGGTAATGATTGGTAATCTGGTAATCAATTGGTAATTATTGTAACCTAATTACCCTAAATTGCCTAATTAACCTAGTTAAGCCTATAAATTACACTTTAGGCTAAATACTATTATTCAGCTATTATTTAATAGTTGTTAAAACGATTATGTTTAGAAATATTTAAAAAAAAAACTTCTTTCTGTTAAACAGAAATTGGGGGGAAAATATGCAAGAGGGCTGATAATTTTGACTTTAACTATAAGTATTATTTGTTAGAATGTAAAAAATTTAATTGAACTTCCTTCAAAAACCTCAGTTACAGCATGTTTTTATAGACATGTATTCCATCATGTGCACTTCTTTTTTTCTTTCTTTTTTCACAGTTCTGGAGGCCAGAATCCAACAGCTGCAATCTGACGCCGTTGTAGACGTCAAACATTCAAAGGTGCAAATCATCAAAGCAAAGCAGAGAGCAAAGAAAACATCACCTGGGAAAAGTCAGAAGAACCTGCCAGGAGAAAAAGCAGAAATGCTTAAAAGCGGTCCCTCTGCTCAAAAAAAGAAAGTAACTGAAGGTGTCACACCTGCCAATACTCACGCAAGTCGCTGGATGGCAAAACTCAATCGGGAAATGTGGATCAATCCCAAAACCAAAACTTCTAAAAAGGTCATCAAGACGGGCCAAAGCAGTAAGACGAAACACTGCACAAACACTGCGCAAAATAAAGGAAAAGGTTTCAGAGTCTCTGAAAGACTACTGGCCAAGTTTCCAGATCTCCAAAAAATACACAGTGGTGAAGTTAGCTTGATTTCAGCCATTTCAGATAAAGCACTGGTTAATGAAGGAGAGCTCGATGTAAGCGTGCCTGCTCCTGAAAAGCTACTGGTGGATAAGGAAGGAAACCGCTATGAAGATTCACATCTCCGTGTTCGGTGCTATTTGGAGGCTTGTATGTTTCTTGACGATGTCTCTCGAGCTCAGAACTACCTGCTGTCTCATCATCGTCAGCTTTCCAAACGCTCACAGCTGTCTATCAGCGCCTACAACATCGTCATGCGGATGTGGGCCAAAAAGGTATGTATGCACATTTGTATCTCTTCTTCCACAACAAATAAACAATATCTAAAAATAACGTTGTAAAATGGGGATATTGTGGAATATTTTGGTTTTAAATCATTTTTTTGGTATTTTAACAAATATTTATTACTGTGGTCAGTGTGGCGAAAAGATGGGTTTTCAACATCATTACTCCAGTCTTCAGTCTGTCATGATCTTTTAGAAATCATTTTATTATTGCGGATACAATGCCCTTGAAATATTTCTGATCATTCATAATGCTAAAAACAATTATGCTTTTCATGATGAATAAAAGAGTAAAAAAACAGCATTTTTTATATATTTTAACGTTGTTTATTAAGAAAAAAAGACTATTTTTAGATGGAAATCACTTTATCCTGGTGGTATAAAAATGCTTTTTACTAAGCTCAATTCTTTTAGTGTACATTTATATTGAATTTTGAAAATATTATTATTATGTAATATGTTTTTATCTTCTATATTGATCCTGCCATGAAACAGACCAACAAAACCTCAATTTACCACTATATATATATATATATATATATATATATATATATATATATATATATATATATATATATATAATTTTTTATTGTTTATTTTTTTTATGCAAAAAATGTTACAGAATGAATGAAAAATTCAAAACAAATGAGGCTAGATCAATGTTTTGGTTGTTTTGATGCTTTTTTCCGCTCTGGTTCATTGTTTACATCATCACATATATTGAATTGTTATTCATTTTAATTAGGGCTTTTCATTTAATCTGCAGAATTGGCATTATTCATTCCTTTTATTTTCAGCTAGTCCCTTTATTAATCTGGGGTCACCACAGTGGAATGAACTGCCAACTTATCCAGCATATGTTTTACGCAATGCATGCCTTTCCAGCTGCAACCTGTCACTAGGAAACCTCCAAACACACTCATTTACACACATACACTACGGACAATTTAGCTTACCCAATTCACCTATAGCATATGTTTATAAACTGTGGAGGAACTGGAGCACCCGGACGAAACCCATGCTAACACGGGAAGAACATGCAAACTCCACACAGAAATCCCAACTGACTCAGACGGGGCTAGAATCAGCAACCTTCCTGCTTTGCGGCGATTGTGCTATCCATTGCAGCACCGTGCAGCATTTTTATGTATGTTTG